AAAATATACATTATACATTAAAAAACTTTGTATTTCATCTTCCCTCGAATTTTTATTCGGTACTTTGATAAGCTGTCGCGAATGATAGGAAGCGTTGTCAAGAACTATCACACTATTCACATCCAAATTTGGGATCAATGTGTTTTCAAACCATTCCGCCAAATCTACAGTACACGTGGACTAGTTCGCTGCTAGTTCATTTCTATGTATTGGTTTTTCTGGCCTTTGAGAGTGCCGCAAACTTTAAGAGTGCACAATATCGTTTACTTTGACTATATACTCAGCGTCAATTGATGTAAGAGCCGTTACTATGTGGTAGGAGATCATCAAGAAAAATTAGAATACAATAAACTGCTTATTGTATTAGTTTGAGAATGTCGTTAAAGGACGAAGCTGCAGTAACGTTAGTTACAAATAAAAGTTGTATAAAAACATAGAATGTTTAATTTCTCATTAGTCATACACTCAGAGTTTTACTGTTTAGTTTTGGAGGAAGCAGTCTCATCATTTAGCACGGCAAATATGTTCCGATCTAAACTTCAATATAGTTACCGTTTTTTCCTATATCCTTCACGAAACTTTCATGATACTACTATTTTCCTTATTTTGCTCACTTTAATCTACATGTTTCCTTTCTGACTGATATATGATTGCTCCGAATTTCATTAATCAGTTCAATAAAGTTTTCCTTTCCAGAAAACGTGGGTTTGCGATGGCTATCAGGACTGCCCAAATGGAGAAGACGAATCAAAATGTCAAATAGTTTGTGATGAATCCACATTTCCGTGTAGCGGAATAAAAGTCAACAGCACCGCGACCGAATTCTGCATTAACAAAAAACATCGATGTGATGGACAGCAAGACTGTCCCAAAGGGGATGATGAAAAAGACTGTCCTACTAAAAGAGAATGTGAGCATGGCACGAAGTGCGAGCAAGTTTGCATCACGACATCTGATAAAAAGAAAGGTTGTTCGTGTTACGTCGGATACAAATTAGCCAGCGACAATTACACGTGAGTATTTTCTTCGAAGGCATATCTATGAAAATATGATGTACTTTTTCGCAGTTGTGAAGATATCAATGAGTGCATGTACGCTACAGATCCCGTGTGTTCTCAGACTTGCAATAATACCATTGGCAGTTTTAAATGCGGCTGTATGACGGGGTACGTACTTAGGCCAGACTTGAGAACCTGCAAAGCAGTAGGAGCGCCACCAACACTTCTATTCGCTAACAGAATAGACATTCGACAGGTAATATTACATATATATTAGTTTAATTTGAAATGGGAGGCTGTTAGAGAAAAGTGATTGAGTGATGTCGAATATTTGAATTTCAATAGCGAGCCAAGGTGGCCTTTCTGTTATTGGTCGATTGGCTTTGCGTTTTATCCCGCTCGTGATCCTGTCAAGTATTACTAATATGATATTAGACGAATCAAAATAACTCTGATATTGAGTAAGGGCGATGACATCTCACAAAGACGGTATCTATGGGATAGGCAGAGAACCGAAACCTCGGCTTCCCAAGGCGGTCAGTTGCAGAGCCAAGCTTTGACATTGACCGCCGACGAGATTCGCCCTCTGTCTTTCACTGCAGCTTTCACTGCAAGGCAACTAGTAAACTAAAGTCCAAACAAACGCATTTATGATTTAACACCAGACAGCGCTATTTCGATCCACCATAGGTATCATCAGTAAGTGCTAGGCTGAACCAGAAATACATTGCTAGAATTAAATGTCGTTAAAGGTCAAGCCTAAGTAACTAAGAAATGTCATCGTCTCTTCTTATGAAGATGCCATCTATGGGATCGACAGAGGAATCAATCTTCGAATATAAAAAGATAAACGAAGGTCCCCAAGACGGTCAATTGCAAAGCCATATTTTGAAAGCTGCAGTGAAAGACAGGACAAATCTTGTCGGCGGTCGATGTTGAAGCTGATCGCTTTGGAGATCATCCTTTATTTTTGATATTCGAGGATTGAGTTCTCTGTCGATCCCATACATGGCGTCCTCGTAAGGGGAAATGTCATCGTCCTCAGTTACTTGTCCTTTGAGGACAGTTGAGTCCAGTAATGCATTTGTTATTTAGCCTAGCACCACTGATGAGACCTATGTTGTTGAATTATGAATACGTTGTTTGATCCCTAGTTTATGAGCAACTCTAATATTGATGACGTGCTTTTATGTCCTAGTTCAATATACTTACCTATTTTCAAAAATAATGCAGGAAGGTAAACATTTACTTTCCATTTATGGCTTGATATAAAACTTTGACAATATTAAAATTGTTATCGATATCTTCCATTCATCTAAAATGAAAGGGTATGAGTGGTTCCAATGTAGACCGATTCACAGCTATAAGGTATTTGGTATACCATTAGTGTCGCTAAAGGCACTCTTAGGTTTTCAGCTGACCTTACTCTCTCAATCATATTCTCGATGACTTTAATAATGTTGTTTTGTCCAGAATTCTTCCAACACTGTGCGTGATATCCCTAGCATATGAAAATTGTGAATTTCATTATAGAACATTTTCACGTTCAGTTCTAATGAACAAGATGAAGGATACCAGGAACCCAGGCTAGAAGCATATTGGACTGTAAAAAATATTACCTGATCTATGAAGTGGCTCTAATCCTTGTTTGGGTTGTCAAACGTCTAAAAATTTACCTTTATGGAAAAAATAATATCGACCCTGGAGGTAATACTCACACCTAAATTGAAGTAGATTCTCTTACGCGGTTGTGCCGAATGAGATTTTCAATTGGTGACCGTTACAATAATGATGAATATGTTCATCAAATAATGGCGTACCATAGACCTGTGACTGTATCTTTGGGGAAAAATTTGACCCTATTCAGAAGAGGCAAAAATTGTGTGAATGTGAAAATATGATTATACAGAATATATCGAATACTTCAGTCAAATGTTAAAAACTTTGGATAGGTACCTGGAAAAATGCAATTTTAGAAGTGCCTCATAAAGGACACAGAGTCATGAAAAATCGGTTGGGTGTGAAAAGTTCACCTCAAAAAATCCAAATCCCATGAAAATCTAAGAATTTCCGGTAGCGCCTTAGATTAACATGGCAACTGACCTCAGGGCTACTTCACTAGGCGAAGATAATATTTTACTTTCTTTAACTATGTTAACCTTGAGTAGTCACGATAAGATTTCGATAGACAAGGTAGAGTCTGCAAAATTCAAAAAAATAGTGTCCGTAACTCATCCAATCCCCATAGATTCGATATTCCTTATGTCCAACTAGAGCCATCAATTCATTCGAGTAATCTAGATGTATCTAGTCAACAGTCAAGTTCTAGGTGTTTCACAATTTTTCTAAGCCTTTGAATAATATCGAGCTTTTGTGAACATTCATGAAATGATCAAAAATTACCTTTCAGGTTTCCTTAAGCAATGCAAAATACACTACATTAATGAAGGGCCTTCACAACGCTATATCCCTAGACTATCATTACGAAAAAGATTACATCTTCTGGTCCGATGTGTCTATAGATGTCATTAGAAGAGCCTACATCAATGGCAGTGACATTACAGGTAACTTCCACTTCAAAATCATGAAAAATATTTATTAATTTTACCTCATTCAGATATCATCAACTCCGGGCTGGAGGCACCTGGAGGGGTAGCCATAGACTGGATCCACAATCTCATTTTCTGGACAGATTCCGGTACACGAAGGATTGAAGTGGCAACCCTAGATGGCCAACAGAGAGCAATATTAGTAGCGAGTGAGGTGGATAAACCTAGAGCTATAGCTGTTCATCCAGGGGAGGCTTTGGTCTTCTGGACTGACTGGGGACCGAATCCGAAAATAGAAAGGTCCGAAATGGATGGTTTCAACAGGCGGAGCATCATCACAGAGTCCGTGTTTTGGCCCAATGGTCTCACCATAGATTACACTTCTAACCAAGTCTACTGGGCTGATGCTAAGCACAACGTCATCGAAACCTCGATGTTGGACGGCACCAACAGGAAAAAGGTCATTAGCAAAGGGCTTCCCCACCCTTTCGCACTTACGATTTTCGAAGACGCTATTTTCTGGACAGACTGGCACACGAAGTCAATTTCTACGGCCAACAAGGCTACTGGAGCTGGGCTGCATACCATTCATTCTCGACTTCATTTCCCTATGGACATCCACACATACCATCCTCAAAGGCAGCCTAAGTATCGAAATCGTTGTGGACCTACAAACGGAGGTTGCGCTCATATGTGTTTACCAAATGCGAAGACTTTCACGTGTATGTGTCGTATGGGTCAAAAGTTGAAATCCGATAAGAGAAATTGTCAGAAACCTGAAAAATTTCTACTGTTCGCCAGAAAAAAAGATCTCAGAATGAAATATCTGGATGGAAGTTCACAACATCAGTACGAGATGGTAAGTATTTTACTTCTAGCCTTTCTACAAAGCTCACTGAATTCGAACTCTATACTTTTCAAGAATATAAATGAGAAAACAGTGAATCGTGAATTATTCCGTCATGCACATTCATCTCCTATAGTCATTCTCTTATATTCAAATATATGGTTTTTTTACTTTAGAGAAAGTACTTTCATATCATGTGATATGTTTCTAATATATTATCGCACCGGCCTTCAGTCGGCCGGCGCAACATAGGCACTTGTCTGATGTGGCACGCGTAATGAAGAAATATTGCAATTGCGTTGGCTTTGTTTCACGTAATAAAAAAATAAAGGATTTCCGCTCCCGCCGTTGATGATAGCGGACGTATCGTGCCTGTTCTCATCGACGGGGGACCGGAGAGCCCATTTTATCGTTTTATTGTGTGAATGCCTGCCGTCTGGAGAACATGTATCGCAATTTTATAAAAATACTGTCTCCCGGCGTGATATGATTGAAATCGATCACATGCAGCGGAAAAAGTTTGAGACATTAAGGGTATCACTTTGAAAGAGACATCCTGATAGCCAAAGAAAGGGTGATGATCGAATTACCAAACTTGTGAATCGCTACAGATCCAAAAAAGTAAGCAAAAGTCACTTTGAAGGTTGAGGTCGCATTTTTGTTCAGTATAAAAGGTTTTCGCGAGATTTGCTTTATTTATTAGAAAATTCACAGAATTACTTATGACATCGAATATTTTATTCTTATTTCTACAAAAGTAAATTTCGCAACTAGTTTTTATACATATTACATAAATCGTGTAATTTATTAAATTGATGGATTTTTTTTCTTCTTAGAGCTTGTAAATAGAAGTTTTTGCTTGAAAATGTTGTTTTGTTATCAATCATTTTCTAAATTTTTGTTATCGCTATGCATTTCATTCAATGCATTAATTATTCCTAACTTTTGTCAAATAATGACGCATTAAAATTGGTAATTCGGTCATTGTGTTTTATGTCATTTCGAATTATTTCACCTTGAATCCTCTCGTTTGACATCCATATCATGGACTGTATAAAAACATGCAACTTCTTTGGGAGTGCGCTTTCTTGAATTTTTTGCATTATCAGCAAATTATTTCATTTGATACTCATATCAAGGAGGTGCATGAAAAAATTAGTCCGCTATATTGGATTTATAGCGACGTTATATTATTTTTCGTAACATTTTCATCGAACCCTTTCACTTGATAACCATAATAGGAGAGTACATAAAAAATTACTAGGCGCCATCTTGAGCCGTCCACCATGTTGAATATAAAATGGGTCACTTAGATTCATGTATTGTCATCTGAATTAAGCATGTTTGTAAAATTCCAAGCCAATCGGTTGAGGACAACTACTTCAAAATTCAGTACATTGCAGTTTGATAAAAGTTCGAATGTAAAAACAAAAGTTCAACATTATTTTCTACATCTTCTGCATTTATCAGTGACATACCTCAAATTGATGTTCCTGATTTAGATACAGTGACTAAAAAAATTTGACAGGAAAACAAAAATACCTTCCAGAAATTTCAACTGAATATTTCTGGGAGAAATTAGTTTTTGGAAAAAAGTGTTTTGGCTCTCTATTTCTTCACCTTTGTAAAAAAATGTGAAAATATTTCGAAGAATGGAAAAAAGCTTATTGAATTCATAATAAAACTCTCTACATGGGTAGATCATGCATAGAAGTTTCCTTTAGATAGAAACTACTTTCAAATTTTTTAGTACAAATATTCAGAATTAGAAGGTTTTTTGTTTACCGTCAATAACTTCTAGATAGTTTGAGAACAGGATTCAAAAACGTTTATCCAGAATTGATCAACACTGCTCAACGAGGGCTATGTGAGTTAAACCCCGGAAATTCAAAACAATCCATGTGGCGGCTGGGTGAGATATTGGAGACGTATCTCGGCAGAGATGAAGTTTCCACAGTGGCACAACAGAAAATGGTGTCGACCATTTTCAGGTCCTTCACATTGTCGGGATTCCAAGGACTTTGCGGACTTTTCACAAACCAATCCAACATCTGGTATCACATCTACATATATAACTGTACAAAGATCTCACCATCCAGTGGAAGTAGTTGTTTACAGCTGATTCTCGGCCTCCCCCCACCACTATGACGTATTAATTGCTTTTTTTATTAGCCGTTCCAAAGTAATTCACGAACCTGCTAACTAACGATAAATATCATAATTTTATAAAAACAACGCATTCAAAACTTACTCCGGTTCATTTCATTGAATGTTCGAATGTATACCATTCACACAAAAATGTTCATGAATTAATTTTCCATATAATGAAATGTCCCTGTACTAATTTTGTTGCAAGCACCTCTTTCTCTATGAACGAGATATGAACTGCGATTTAGTATCGTATACATCAGATGTTATGTATTCCCACAAAAAAATCTAAAGACATCATATCAGGTTATCAAGTGGGTTCTTCTGAGGGACCACGTCTGCTTGTCTACCGGTATGGATAATTGACAAACCAAAATAAATTTTCAACGAATAGTACTTTTCAGCAAGATGATGCTAGTATGGCCTGCTTGATTACCTGATATAACGCTTGTAGATTTTGTGGAGATACATAATATATACACCACTGCAGTCTATTCCAATGCTCATGGTTAGAATAGAAAGTGCTTCCCAGAAACATTCCTAAATGTAAGAAATAAATTTGTATACAAACTTCATTATTGCCAGGATGTAAATGATGTCAAAAATATTCTTTGGAATGTACTGAAGTACTTTTGAAATAAGGATTTTTCAGATAATGATATTTATCGTTTGTTTGCTGATCGGCTGGTCCGATTTCCAATAATGAAAACAAAAATTGGATATATAACAAAGCATTACGAACCCTCTTTCACAATGAAAAAAAGTTGGTGGAGTACTAAAATATTATTTTTTTACGTGAGTTTTGTGTGACTTCGATACATTGTTCCGTTCGAAAGTTACGAGGGTGGGAGTGACTATTTCTGTGTCTTATATACAACTGCCTGAAAATATTTTCTGTACGGAATGAGATATTTCGAATAGAGAGTGAAGATCTTTTGAGTTCCTTTAGATGTGTTCATGATAGGTCTAGTATCAGTAAGGAAAAATTAAAAAAAACAGACTAGGATTCAATATACAGTACACTCTGTATATACAATAGAGACAGTAATTGAATACTGCAACTAACTTGTCTTCCATATTTTTTTCTATCAATCGATAATATTTTTTTGCAGGTGCAATAGTGGAAAATGTATTCCCGAGAGATATAGATGTGATAGGCAATACGACTGTGAGGAAAATGAAGATGAAAATAACTGTAACTATAATGTAACAATGACTTGTTCCGGCGACGAATTTACTTGCGAAAACTCCACTTGTATTCTGGTAAGAATCACAAAATCCGAAAATCAACAACAAAATTCATTCTGGACAATTTTCTTGCAAATTAAAGATGAGAGAAGAAAATCTGGTGACATTATATCTGTTCTAGTTCATGAGATAGGTACTGAACAAAACGTTCTTAAACCACAAGACATCATAGTCAGACATAATTTCCGTAAAAAATTATCATTTTTGAAACGTTTCATTATTAAAATCTATACTGATGTATCACTTGTCGCCGAGAGAGTGCTACCAACTTTTTTTTGAATGGAGAAGTCCTGTTATATCTTTTTGAAAAGAAGTTCAATGTTCCATTCACCAATGTTTAATTTTCCTCATTTCATCTGTTGCTGAGAGATTATGAGTTGAAATATCATTCCATTTCATTCCAATAAATGTTTTAAATGTTCACCATCCACTTCAAGACAATAATAAAGTCGGATATAATCCAACGCCCATCGAAGTATTCGCCAGGGGAGTAGTTATTTTATGATAACAACAAAACTACCCTTCGAACATTTCATATCCCAACAAATAAATTCGTGAACGGACTTCATTAGTATAAGGAAGTGAAAACTAAACAATTTGAACATTCATTAGAATGCCCTGAGGTGAATTTTATATTCTTGAAATTATAATAATAACCTTTTGTTTGCAGATTCTTTGAACTATTATGAAAGTGTTAAACACTCAAAAAAGTCTGATCCAATTCTCAAAATTAAAACAGTATTATATATAAAACTGATATACTGACCAAGGGAGATATAACTGGACTCCCTCTTTGATTTGGAAGAAAAATTAATTCTTGAAGTTAAAAGAGAACTGAGGGCACGTTAGAAGCCGATAGACAATGAAATTAACTATAAATGCAACATACAAAATGTTAATGAATATACATCAGCAAAAAAACCTTATATGTTCATTATTTTCACATAATGAATGTTGTGGATAGATTCGAAAGGTGTGTGGTCCATAATTAAAGTTTACCGTTAAACGACTAACGCAATGCCACGGGTCGCTTTGAGTGGACGAATCAGCTGAGAGACAGCTTTATGTATTGCTACAAGAGTACTGAGTCCGCGCAAAGAGGGTACATGGCAAAAATGCGTTGGTGTGAAATACATCCGAAGCATGTCTTTTCCACCTGAAACCTAAAGTATCATTTATTTTATCTTCGGTGGTAAAGCTATATTATTCCTCCCATATCACTTCTTCTCACCCTAACGAAGTGGTGGTAGTGGCATTTTTGCCATCCGTTAGCGCGGTTGAAGAGGAGACTCGTATCATGCCACCAGTGGAGACAATCGGAACACGCAGAGAAAACCAGTAAATTAGGCCCCTGAAACCACAAGATGCGGAGGATCAAGATGTTCTCACAAAAGATGATGATATCCAATCGCTTTCCGAATCGAAAGGATGAAATCTCGTATTCGCCGTTCGAAAGATTGAACAGCGATTACACAAAATGAAGGATAAAATCAAGTTGCGTCTTGTTTATAATGTATGGTGGCCAACAGACCACTAGGCTACCATATAGGTCACGTGAAAGGACAACAGAACTTTCACGTTCGCAGTGCGGTGAACAGCCGCCGAAATTTGACGTACCCATTCCATTTCGAAACAAGACGTGCTGCTGACCACCGAACAGCACTGCCTTGATAGAATATCAGTTGATGAGGTGAACGAGAAGTATCGCGGAAAACCTTAATTTTCGCGACAACTCATTTCGCTTATTCCAAGAGCTTTCGCGTGGTATGTATAATCGACAGCTGATCAGGTGGAATCTTCATGAAAGTGCATTTATAAACACTCCCAGCTACTCAACTTTCTTGAATTCACAAGCATTTCATACATACTAATACTCACCGCAAATGACCAATTTCCGTCGGATTTTGGATTCATTATGGGAAAAGGCGTCCCATCTGATTACGATCAATCCTCATTCATAGGCAGATATCCCTTACACAGAGCGATTGATTATGACGACATGTCCGACAGTTACAACTTGAAGCATCCCGAAGAGGAAGACGAGACGAGAAGAAATCCGGATCAACATATATCGGACTGCAACAAGATGTGCCTGCACGGAGAACTGTTGTGTCACAATATGTGTGTGTGCATCAAAGAAGAACTCAGGTACGTATTCAAAGTAACCTGAAGTAAAACTCAGAAAAATATAATGTTTGCAAAAACTCATCACTCTTTCATTATACCAGATACTATTTTCATAATTACGTGACTTCATAAAATTCCAACTTCGAAAATATAGGATATTGAATTTGAAAAATTGAAAATATATTTTTCAGTATTGGTTGTTGAAGGTCAAGGCTACCGTAAGGAAGCTCATTTAGAATTGTAGAGGCAGAAGTAATGTTTGCTATTCAACTGCCAATAGTAGAATATTCAGAATTGCAGAAACCCCAAAAATAACATTGGCAGTATCAACAGTTTTACAAGCATTTCGAAAAATATTCTTTCATTTCGGGTTTGCCCTCTACTGCAATGATGTGAATGGTTAAGCTGATAATGGAATCGTAGTAAAGAAACTCGGCTGGATGATCGAAAAATAAAGCACAATTTTCATACTTTTGGTAGGATTGCTGAAATGTAATGTTTTTTATTGTTCACTCTGATTATTTCTCCCAATGCCCCTCGGTATCCGTGTTACTTTCTTCTCCATAAAGGTCACCCTGAGACGAATTATTCAATATTGAAAAAAGCAGCTCAAGTCACTTTTGGTCTAATAATAATATTCCGTTTCTTTCGTGACTTTTTCGTGATCCAACATAGAGCCGCTTCTATTGAAATACTTGGGCTATACGCATATTAAAAATAATATACTTTATTGTCATTAAGAATAAATCTTGTGGACAAAGCTTGTGAAAAATAAATATAAATGTGAGTATAGAAATATAAAATGTGAATATAAAAATACCTTCAAAAAAGTTAAATTGGAACATACATTATAAAGTTCATCGTCAAATGTTGTATTAACATGGGTGTGTGCATATTTGTTTAAAAATAATACATATATAAACATATATACTTATATATAATAATCTCTAGTACTGAATGGTCACCTTAACAAATAAAAATTTTCCAGGTGCAACACTAAAAATGATTGTGGCGATAATGAAGACGAAATCGAATGCGACACGGACGACTACAACGAAGTGAAATGTGACGAAACGATAAACCACATCAAATGTCCGAAAACCAATAGATGCATTTCAAAAGAATGGCTTTGTGATGGAGACGACGATTGTGGAGACTATTCAGATGAAACTCACTGCGGTAAATCATATAACTGAATTATAACTAAACAATAATCTTTAATTGAGAATTAGTTTTTCGATGAGGGCACTCAAGACATTCTGGTTTTTTTTCTACCTCTGGAGTTTCATTTTTAGGTCATCTCCTACTTTCACTTCAAGAAACAAAATTTTGCGTTACAAGTAAAGTTCTGCTTAATGGTCATGTTTTTGGGGACTCTATATAAATGAATAAAGAATGTATGAAATTCCCAAAGATGTTCAATGCTGGAGAAGTAGAAAAACAGAAACCTTTTTGACAAAAAAGTTAAGGGTTTCCCCGCAAAGGTTTTCAGTGTCACTATTTCTCGGGTTTGAAGGCCGTCGAAATTTTAAATTTCTTACTGACGTTTCGCTGGCGCGAGTGGCTAGCTTCTTCAGAGTTTTATACATCGTGAGTTATCTCCGAAACCTTTTTTTCACAAAAAACTAATCATTTCTGATAATATTCTCAATTCGCTTGTTATTTATTTTGGTTGATTTTTTGGGTACTATAACATTCCACTATTTGGAAAAAATAGAAGCTATCAGAAAATCTATGCAAGTATAGGAAAATCAAACCACTTTTGAGAGTTTCTACGCTAACACAAATTGTTTCCTTTCACGTATCAACGGAAACATCATAAAATTAGTTAGCAAACTATTCTATTTTAGACCAGAATACAATAAAATAGTGGGATAATAAAATAACTCAATTCTACAAGAGAGGTTTTGAAAACCACATATGTTTCCGTAATGAAAAATACACCAGATTTTTACTTTGTCGGCACCCTCAAAATATTCTTGAAAATATGATACTTGACAAACTACTTGTCAGATTTGAAATGATGTACCGATTCCTGTGACCTACAAAATATTTTCTTATTCCTGATTTAGATAGGGGATATTATTTGCGGTACATTTGTATCTAAATGGTTGAAATACAGGCAATGATAAGGTATCTTATTTGATATTTCTGTGAAATGATTCATTCGTCAAATTGCTGAGGTCTCCTTTATATATGATGTTTTTTTATACAATTCTTCAGTTGTTACCACAGGTCTATTCTGATTCGATTCGAGAAAATATTAATCTGAGTATAGTCGTCGTCATAAATATTGTTCTCACATTACATCACATTGTTTTCACGTTTTTTATATTCGAATAAAAAATCTGCCCTGTGTACATTCGTGTAGATGTTCTATTAACAATTCATTTTTCGATACCGTGGATGATTATGGTACTCAAGGAAACAGCTTGAAAACGGAAAATCAATTTTTGAAATGACGACTATTTTTCAAAAGTTTCCCAAGACGTCAGTTGAAAATTTAGAAGACATTCTTTGAAAATTCAAGTCAGTATAATTCTAACTAGTGTTTGTTAAAAATTTAGTATTTTCTCTTCAAACTTCACCACACAAAAATGGTTTTCCTTCATTTGACATTCTATAAATCTAAATACAAACTCTAATATTCAACTGTTTCACTTCAGGTTCCATGATGAACTGCACAGTAGATCAATTCCAATGCGAGAACGGATTGTGCATACCAAAACTATGGATTTGCGACAACGACAACGATTGCAAAGACTTCTCCGATGAAGTGAATTGCACTAATATAGGGTCAGTATAAACTCATGACTTTAGAAAACGTTGCTCAAAATACACTTTCAGATGTGATGAAAATGAATTTGAATGTATGGATACCACATGCATCTCTATCAATTGGAAATGTGACAGACACATTGACTGCACGGATGGCTCTGACGAAAGTGATTGTGGTAAGTACTGTAAGTCGTACAGTAATGATATTACATGAGTATTCTTATGATTGGAAAAGTACTTTCTTGTACGTTCGCCAACAGTGTATTCAAGAACTACCAAAACTGGAAATCTGGGATGAAATTATATCTGCAAGATCAAAATCTGTGGTATTCGCTATCATATTGATGATACTATCAAGGTGTACCTAACACAAAAATTGATCTCATGGTATTGATATTCGCATATCTGTAACTGTGATACAATGAAATGTATTACAAACTAAAGAATCCATCTTCTGCGAATAATTTGACTTTGAAACTTAAGAATTTCAAATAAATGAAAAGTTATTGTATATCAATAACTGATGCCTTCAGAAATTGCACTGAATGAAGACAAAAATCGAAGATAAATGTTTTGGAGCGAATATGCTTGCAGGTCTTTTACCTGAATACGAGCCTATGATTATGATAATGAATATATATTTGGTGATCACATGAAAAGCAAGCTGTTGCAAGACACAAGGTTTGAGATACGGCAACCAAAGTCCTTCTTTCACTCCCACAATAGAAAAAGAAGTCGATAACGAATTGCCATTCTTAGACTTATTGGTGAAGAGGACCGACACTTGATGGGAAACATCTGTACACCGAAAACCCACTCACTCGAAACAGTATCTGAACCAGGAATCCAACCACCATCAATTGACTAAGAGAGAAATCATCAAATAGACCGTACTTTCGGGCTCTGTAATATGTAATATAAAATGTAATATGTAATATGAAACCGATGAAGCGGAGAGAGGGAAGAGGGGATAGGTGAAATCACTCGAATAACCTATGAATAGTCGAATCTCGGAGAAATAAGTCCAGACATCTGTGACGCACTGGACCAGATAAAAAATTGTTCGTTAAATTCCCCGTGCTACAGAAAATGTTCACGGTAAATACCGACGTGATAACTGGAACTGCCAATGTCTAGACAACCAACGTTGCTTAGATCTCTGAAAATAGTTTTTTGGAATGCTAATGGCATTCGCTCAAGAAGACTCGATTTCAAGGATTTCCTAATTCATCACAACATCGATGTGGCTCTTGTCCAGGAAACACACCTGAGAAACGAATCCATTGTCATTCCAAATTACAGATTCTTTCACAGAGAACGTGTTGGACGTGGTGGAGAGGCAGTTGGCATCTTTGTCAAGCGATCCCTTCAGTGTGTCCAATACGGCATTGACAGTGCTCGATTACACGGAACTGAGGCCGTGGGGGTTGAAATTCGACTGAGCAGGGGTTGTCACAGAATATTCTCGGTTTACAACCCTCCGAACAATAATTTGCTCCCAGAATCACTGGATGAACTGCTGATAGGAAGCATTCCGACAATTGCTGCTTTTAACGCCAAACACAGACTATGGAGCAGAGCCACAAATCGAAACGGCCAAGCGCTCTATGCGCAAGTCGACAGGCATGAATATCTTGTGCTGGGTCCGGATGAACCTACGTACTATCGCGAACAGACTAGGCCTGACGTACTAGACATCGCGCTTCTCAGAAACGTCTCTCTAACTAGCGAAATTTACGTTCTGTCGGAATTGGATTCTGATCATAATCCAGTTATCCTGGTACTGGGCGATGATCTTCCTTCTCCTGATTATCGTGTGAGATATTCGACTGATTGAGATATCTTCACAACCCAGCTCGGGGAGATGCGCGCCCCTCCTGAGGCACTTCGCTCTCCCGACGAACTCGACGCGGCAGTTAAGCGTTTCGAGCTTTCTGTGAATGATGCGTTTTGAGCGGCCACCTCCAGGGAGGAGTGTCCGCTGAAGAGCTACAATGAGTTTCCCCCTCTTATCAAAGCCTTGATACGAGAGAGAAATCGCTTGAGAAGGATCTATCAACGAACCCTTTTTCCAGGAGATAACATTGCTGCAAGTAGGATGGCCAATCAAGTCAAATAGGCCATCATTGATCACCAAAACGAAAGGTGGGAGGAGCTCTTGGAATCCCTTGAACCTGGGGAAGACGAACTTTAGCGAGTCACCCGCAGACTCAAAGGAAAAAAACTGCTCCCTCACATATTCACGGAGAGCGCGGAGTGTGCTACTCCCCCACCGACAAAGCGTTGGCCTTTGCCGACACGATGGAACGTCAGTTTCAACTTAACGTTGACAACCGCGACCGGGATATTCTGCTGGAAGATCGGGTTCACCGTACCCTTAGGGAAGATGACGATGATAACATTCGCCCAGCTTCTGTGGAAGCTGAAGGGTTACATCGGGGCCGCAAAGGCCAAGAAAGCTCCGGGGGTCGATTCAATAACCTATTGGTTATTAGTTGTTGAAGAGGTTCCCGGACAACTGTGTTGAAAGCCTACAGTTCGTTGGCTTTCAGATGATCCCAAAAGAGGAACAATACCTGCTGTTCCCGTATAATTATCGCCCGATCAGTCTGCTCTCGTCGGCGGCTAAACTGGCTTAAAAAGTTTTTTTGCAAAGACTCAACCAAGGAGTTGGGGACCGAAATGTTCTGCCTGACGAACAATTCGGCTTCAGGAGAAGAACACACCACTGAGCTCCAGGCACTGAGACTGATCGAAAACATCGCAGAGATGAACCAAAACCGCAAAGTTCATGTCCTATTAGACATTTCGAAGGCCTTCGACCGTGTTCGGCATGAAGGTCTTCTGCATAAGTTAATCGCATTCGACCTGCTTCGGGGCCTGATCCGGTAGATTGGGTCTTTCCTAAAAGACAGAACATTTCAGGTTAGAGTAGAGGGCTCTCTGTCTGTCGCTGGAGTGCCACAGGAGGAGTGCTCTCTTCCACGCTATACTCTCTTTATACCAGTGACCTTCCGAAGTCTGAGCGTGTGATATCCCTCTACGCCAACGACACGGCTCTCCTCTCATCTTCCATGGGTCGGGAGCTCGAAATCGTCTACATGCAACGTACATTGGACGACCTCGAGCGCTGGTACCTTGAATTGCAGATCCGAGTGATCCCGAAAAAGACTCAGGCGATAACCATGGGAAGAACGATATCTTCTCTGGTCATAATACTCAAAAAGAATAAAACTCGGCTTACATTAATTGGTGGAAATTCTGCAAGAGTGAGAAAGATATCATATTTCACCTTACATTGCTGATTAATGTCTGGAAAACGAAGTCTGGCCAGATGCTTTCAAAAACTCATTATTAAAATTTTGAAAATTTATAACATTCTTTCTCCCCAATAATATAGTTTTAGAGGCTTCCACTTATGGTGCAGCGCTGAAACTAACTGATGAAATATATTACGCTCTAGAAAAGAGCAAATCATGTTCATGTCTGTTCATTGACCTTACTGAGGCTTTTGATACAGTCAGCATCTCCTAACAACTCTATAAGACGTGAGTGTCAGGAGCTATCTAGAAAAGCGAACACAAAAAGTAAAAATAGTCAGTGCACACAATGAACAAAAAGAAATAGAGTATGGTGTACCCCAAGGAACCATTGAAGGCCTAATATTTTTCGAACTTCACAGTATAAATTTTGAACTGTATATGGAAAAATTGTAGGTTATGCAGACGATTCATGAGGCAGAAACTTGAGAAGAACTTGAAGTCGAAGTAGAAGAAGATTCCAAGCATATAAAAAGTTACTTTGATCATATGCTGTTAAGTGTCAATTTCAAAAAGCCCCATTTTTTACCTTTTGGCTGCAATAAATTCACCACACTCACCTTTCACCCATTTGAAATACAAACCGACCATTGGGTTGAAATGTAGATAAACTCCATTTCTCATAGTTAGAATTAATTACTGGAACTACTTTTTATTTAGACACCATGTATATAGTTTACTTGTTTTTTAAGCATTGGCTGTCTTCACAAGGCGATGAATGGAGAAATTAAAATAATTATATAATAATCTACATGAAGAAACATGAAATAAATGTTCGATTCGATTCTGAATTCGATAACCCGATTTGATTGATTATTTATAAAAGGCGACATGCAGAAACTCTAACACATAAAAATACATGATTTGTTGTAGATATTACTCCTCCCGATTGCAACGAAGACGAGTTTCAATGTATTACTCATAAGTGTATAAAAAAACAGTTTAAATGTGATTTTGATGATGATTGTGGAGATTGGAGTGATGAAAATGACTGCCCGAAAATACCTGGAACATGTTCTACCGGAGAATTTAAGTAAGTTTTGAGTAAGATAACCTGTATTATGAAGGTTTATATACAAGTTTTTGTAACGCTTTTTAAAGTTATTGGAATATACAAAATAATTGATGTGTAACCTATTGAAACTACATCAATTATGATTATATACAGGGTGTTTCAAATTCGATCCTCACCATTGAGATCTCAAAAACTATGAGAAATACGAAGATGGTAAGTTGAGAAAAAGTTGCGCATTTACCTGACTAACAATATGCCGTTGAGAAAGTTCTGAAATTCCAAGTATATCCGGAGATATCCGGCAAAAACAGAAATTTCGAAAAATGGTTTTTATTTTTTTCTGGCTTCATTAAAGAAGTCGAAAATGAATTGCACCTCCACATTGCCACTTTTCCCTGCTACATAATGGTGTTTTCAGAATTGATATCCGACGTTTCGTCTTCCGACGACCTTCATCAACTGTATATTTTCTTATGGGCGCTACATTGGATTCTTTCTGTTTTGAAAAGAACCAGTAATTCTTATCATGACAGGCTTTGACTTTGATGTTTCCAAATTTGTCTTTCAATTTGTTACACTCAATGACATTTTGTTATTGTACAAGTCATTGAATTTTTAAAATGTTACAACATACAGATACCTCAAAAATTGCATCCAGATGATCCCGAAAGGCTATTAGAGTTTTGTATTTGGCTGATAAGAAGACCTGATTTTCCTGGAAAATGTAATTTGGAGAGATGAAAGCACTTTTACGAATTGTGGGATATTCAACCGAGATAACGAACACATTTGGAGCACAACAACCCCAGGCAGTTCCGAGAAATCCGACCTCAAGTGCGATTTGGTATTAACATGTGGGCAAGAATTTACAAAGATAGAATTCTGGGTCCTCATTTATTTGACGGAATTCTGAATGGAGAAACCTATCACCAGTTTTTATGATCTTACCTTTGGCTAACCAGTATTTTTCTTCAATGTAATTCTATGTTTATATGAAAGTAGNCTTGATACAAAAACATGTGGGAAATCTTCTAACAAAAAAGTTAAAAAAAATTATTTTATACAAAGATCTGATCATGTGAAGAAGTAACGTTCAGACACAAATCGGAAGAAAAATCCTTCTCATATAAACATTGAATACTTTCGAAAAAAATACTTTCATATGAACACTGAATGGTGACTGTTGAGAATTTTGATTCGAAATATCTCTTCTCTTAGATCGACCAACTCATTAATAATGTTTACAGATAACTGTCGGAAAAAAAAGTTTAGTTCAGTTTCATGTAGTACTATTTAAAATGTGTGAATATAAATCGATTTCTCCCATTTGATTGTTTTCATCTACTCTCAATATACAGTGCCGAGGTAAATAGCCCCCCTCCCTCCCAATTCTGAACGGGACAAGATATCGTGCTCGAAAAAAATTACGTTTAAGGCTTTTAGTGTTTTTTGATGGAAAAGAGTGGTGTTATTTTAAATTGAAAGGAGAGTTTTGTGATAACTCGTTTGATAGGTATTTCAAATCTTTATCCAATACTTCATTTCTGAAAATCAGATTAGCCGTTCCAAAGTAATTCACGAACCTGCTAACTAACGATAAATATCATAATTTTATAAAAACAACGCATTCAAAACTTACTCCAGTTCATTCCATTGAATGTTCGAATGTATACCATTCGCACAAAAATGTTCATGAATTAATTTCCCATATAATGAAATGTCCCTGGACTAATTTTGTTGCAAGCACCTTTTTCTCTATGAACGATGAACTGCGATTTGGTATCGTACACATCAGATGTCATGTATTTCCACAAAAAAATCTAGAGACATCATATCAGGTTATCAAGTGGGTTCTTCTGAGGGACCACGTCTGCTTGTCTACCGGTATGGATAATTAACAAACCAAAATAAATTTTCAACGGATAGTACGTTTCAGCAAGATGATGCTAGTATGAAAGTGGCTAGGAAAATGGATGGGAAAATGTGCTTCTTTAGTTAGAATGACCTGCTTGATTAACTGATATAACGCTTGTAGATTTTGTGGAGATACATAATATATACACCACTGCAGTCTATTCCAATGCTCATGGTTAGAATAGAAAGTGCTTCCCAGAAACATTCCTAAATGTAAGAAATAAATTTGTATACAAACTTCATTATTGCCAGGATGTAAATGATGTCAAAAATATTCTTTGGAATGTACTGAAGTACTTTTGAAATAAGGATTTTTCAGATAATGATATTTATCGTTTGTTTGCTGATCGGCTGGTCCGATTTCCAATAATGAAAACAAAAATTGGATATATAACAAAGCATTACGAACCCTCTTTCACAATGAAAAAAAGTTGGTGGAGTACTAAAATATTATTTTTTTACGTGAGTTTTGTGTGACTTCGATACACTGTACCGTTCGAAAGTTACGAGGGTGGGAGTGACTATTTCTGTGTCTTATATACAACTGCCTGAAAATATTTTCTGTACGGAATGAGATATTTCGAATAGAGAGTGAAGATCTTTTGAGTTCCTTTAGATGTGTTCATGATAGGTCTAGTATCAGTAAGGAAAAATTAAAAAAAACAGACTAGGATTCAATATACAGTACACTCTATATATACAATAGTTGTGAACATACAACAAATTGTTATTGAATACTGCAACTAAAATTTGTCTTCATATTCAAGAAACTAAACCTATGTTTTTTTGTTCTTCGAGAAAAGGTTCTTTATGTTTGGCCAATATAAAGTTTTGAGCAAGAACCACAAGTCAATATACGAATACAAACTCCTGATCAATCCAAAACTGGATTTTTTTTATTGTTTTCAATGAATTTGCTTAAATCATTAATTTTTCTGTAGATCGTGTCAGTCTTTCATTTTCAGAAAACGATCACTGTTATTGGTGGGTTCATAAAAGTATGTCAATGTGTCATAATATCCACCTTGTAATCGTTGTTGAAGTAATTTGTTTGATAAAACTCAGTTCCCTCTGAAAATTATCAGCATGAATTGCAGCATTCAAAAGTAGGTATACTTCACAGACTATTGAATTTTCCACCATCAGAAAGTAATTTTCAGAGAGTTAAAACCGCAACATGTGTTTCACTATACAATAGCTCACAATAAAGTGTTTCCTGAATACCTCATGAATTCTTAACAAATATCGACCAATTCCATCA